CCCCCCACCCCCGCCATTCTCCCGGGGAGTGCAGCGGATTCGCCACGTTCGCCACCCTCCCCTCTCGGCGCGCAACAGGGCCCTGACGGCGGCGGCGGCGGGCGGGTCCACGATCCGAGGGGAGTCTGGCGGGGCGCGGGGCGCGCGCGAACCATGCAGAAGTAAATTTCTCTCCGCCGTCGCAGCAACAGATTCAACTTCCACACAGACGGCACCGGCCCGGGATCCCCGAGCGGGACGCGCGGTCACGCCCAGGGCGATCCATAAGTTATGCTAATCAGTCGGGTCAGCGACGAGCAAGGCATGAGAGGCCGTGGGGAGAAGGGACGGGGGTGGGGAGGGGAGGGGGCGTCGTCCGCCAAAACCAAAACATACTTTATCGGGCGGCGGGACGGGACGGGCGGTAACGAGTTATCAGTCACAACAGGGAAACAATGGCGAGGACTCTCGGGCAGCGGAAGGGTTATCTGCAGCACCTCGCGCGGGGCGGGCCCACAGGCGGGGCCCTGCTCCCAGCCGCTCCTCGGTGATTCAACGCCCTCCCCTTCAATGACCAGAGAGGGGGGGGCGTGGGGACGACGGGGGCACGGGCCACAGCAGCGTCGCGTGACCGCGACAGCCTTCCGCGGAGAGTGAAGTGAGTCAATCCCTTTCGTCCGCATCCACTTGTGACGCTCCGCCCCGCGGCCCTCGGCGACCTGCTCCTCATGCGCGCCTCACTACCGCCCCTCACGTAGGCCCCGAGCACCGCGACGACAGGCGTCCGTCAATGAGCTCGCCGGTAGGCCCGGCTCGGCCCGGCCAACACCCCTGTCCCCCGTCCGTATGCGTGCGGGACCCGCGCGGCCCCCGCCCCGCGCCGCGTATTGATCCACGGCCACACCCACGGGGCCCGGCGCAGCCCAGCGCGGCCCAGCCCCGGGGAGAGATGCCCACCCCCGCGAGCGAGGACCCACCCGCCCCCCACATTTTCAAAACGTCCGATGGGCGGGACGAGATGCAAGCCCTTCGGGGCGAGACACCCGACGACATCGGTGAAAAAGTGGCGGCAGATTGTCGAGGGGGTGTGAAGGGTCGCGCGGAGAGGGGCGCCTTCCCCTCCCCGCCGCCCTCACCTGTTGATGCGCCCCCGCGCCGCCCCTAGCCGCCCCCGGGCGCGCTCGCAGCCCCGCCCCGCCAGCGCCAGGAAGATATCCAGTTAGCGTAAAAGTGAGGAAAAGTGAGAAGTGAAGTGAGGCCGAGTGAGGTGAAGTGAGGCTGGGCGAAGCCGAGCGAGGAAGCGTAAAAGCGTAAAAGTGAAAAGCCGGAAAGTGAAAAGCGAAATAGGGTGTGTTCAGATAGAGGGTCGTTTTAGGTGGGTTTAGGTATATATTTCGTGCTTATATTGTAATTTTACACTCGGAGACGCAAAGTTCGCTGTATTTTAACGATCTCGCGTTGTTTTCTGATGACAACCCACCCAAAACGACCCTTTTTTTCTGAACACACCCTATTTCGCTTTTCACTTTCCGGCTTTTCACTTTTACGCTTTTACGCTTCCTCGCTCGGCTTCGCCCAGCCTCACTTCACCTCACTCGGCCTCACTTCACTTCTCACTTTTCCTCACTTTTACGCTAACTGGATATCTTCCAGGCCCTACAGCTGGGCCCGCCGGGACCCGGGCTGCGCCCCATATGGCCATATGGACCAGCGACCCTCCGTATGGCGAGCACGGCGGTGCGCGGAGCCCGGGGCCCGGGCCCCCCAACGGCAGGCAACGGGGGGAGCCGCCGCCATGGGTTCCGCCAGGCCGAGTGAAGCCAGGCGCGTACAGCTGCTCTCCCGCCCGAGCCCGGGCCCCGGCGGGCCCCGGGTACCCGCAGGGTCAGGCATCGCGGGGGTACCCGCGGGTGCGACCGCCCGCGGGCGGCAGCAGCGCCAGGGCCGCGGAGGGTCTCCGCCCCGGCTCAGGATGGCGGCTATCCACGGACCATATGCTGCCCTTTGCAGGGGCTCAAATGGCGCGATCCCAGCCCCGCCCACGAAACGAACACACCGGGCGATGCTTAGGATCACGACGTGCTCGACGGGCAGGGTACGGGCGCGTCGACAGAGACCAGATAGCAGGATAGAACCACACACAATGTTTTAGCTTCCGACCCACACACACACTCACCAGGCTTTGACGCGGATCAGCACCTCGCCCTCGGCCAGCGTGGGCTCGGGCTTCTTGAGCAGCTTGACGGACTTGAGGCCGCCGAAGCCCGTCAGCACGACGGCCCTCATCTCCTTGGGGGGCTCCTCGGGGGTCTTCTCGGCGGACTCCTGCTCGTCCTTGGCGGCCGCCTCCTGCTTCTCCTCGGCCTTCTCCTGCTGCTCGGGCTTCTGCTCCTCGGCGGGCTTCTGGTTCTCCTCGGCCATGGTGGTCGCGGGCGATGGATCAAGTCAACAGAGATGCCGGTGCGGCGGGCTGGAGCGTGTAATCACGGCTGATCTGGTCCGGACGGTGGTCGGCACAGGACTGGGCTGGGACCGGGACTGACTTAGCGAAGCGGGCCGAGCCGGTGGCTGGGCAGGGGCAGGGCGTAGCGGCCGACAATGTAACAGGTGCTGCTGCGGCGTGCGGCGGTGTCGGTCTGCTCGGTGCGGTGCGCGCGTCCGTCTCGCTGTTGGCGAGGGTCTTCTTCGCGCCGCGCCGCGCCACGCCTCCGAGGCCGCGTCCGAACAGCGCACCCGACCACCGGGGACCCGCGGGCGGGCCCTCCAGAGCGATAGAGACGGAAACGGCGTCCGCTGCGGACGCAGCCCGCTGCCGGCCGGAGCGCACCTCCTTTAGCGTTGTTCATCCGGCCCGACGCCCAAAAGGGTGAAAATAGTGCGTCGCGACGCCTCGGCTTTGGGGCGGTGCTCGCGCGGGGCACGCTCTTCATCAGAGAGGAGCTGCTGGAACTAGTGTCTGCTCTTCAGTTCAAGTCCTGAGGGACTAGGCACCTCGGCAGTTGTTTCTGATCGCACTCTTCTCGTTTGGGTTGAGGAGGTCCAAGAGAGCCCGGCGGTAGATTCCTGCGCGTCGTCTGCTTCTTAGGGGCTGTTTCGGTGTTTGTGTTTGTGTTTATCGTAGAGTGGCGAGAGATGCTGTGTGTTAGCTTTTCGTTTTGATTGGAACTATTGATTGAAGAGCTCAAGAAAGATGACAGAAGAAGAAACTAATGAACGCTTAGACGTCCCTTCGATTGGACATGACGGGATGCGAGCTGTTAAAATACCTGTCAACCGGCTTTTGAACCGCGAACTCCTCAACATTTTATTTCTTGATTCATCAACATTTTAAATTAATACTAAAACCTATCACTATGTTAACATCAAAGAATCTGCTCGGTGTTATAGCTTTGAGCACTGTAATCGGTTTGATGTCATATCTAACCTCATTATGTGCAAGGAGACAGAACAATAATTTTTCTGCTATGAATTCCTCTTTTGTGTCCTCAGTCTGGTGTAATTATGGTCAAAGTGGAGAAAAAATCTGCAGGTTTCAAAACCTCTGTTACAATTCTCGCTTTCAAGATTTTCAGTTCATATTGACTGATGAGTCTGTTGTTTCTGGAGTTCAGAATGTGTCAGAATGGATGAACATTGACATGTCAACAGTTCTCGAACACAATGCATTCAAATTGAAATTATCTATTTTGTCTGACACTAATAAATTTAAAAGACTTGTATATCACAAATTACCTACATTTATTCTTCATAGATTTAAGCCAGACAATATCATGCATGTTATTCATGATGATTTAATTCCTTTGTATACTACCATGGAAGCAATTTCGGATGGAACTGTTCCTTTTAATCAAAAGTTTGGTCTTGCTTTTAGTGATAATTATTCAACAACCGCTCTTGATGAATGGTACCAAAATTTCTCTGCAGCTCCCCTTATTCGACTCATGTCCACCAATGAAACAGTCTGCTTTAGTAATGCCTACATCGGATTACACAGAACTACTGTATGGTTCCGATATGGGTTCAAACAGGTACAAGGACCTTACTATAATAACAACTTCAACTCACAAGTAATAAGAAATTTTGTCAATTTTAACTTAGAAATTAGAAGAGAGACATTTCATTCTGATTGTAAAATGAATTCTAAGCAAATTAAAATTATTGTTCTTAGCCGGTCTCAAACAAGGCGGATTTTAAATATGGAATTCCTTGTAAAAGCTATCAAAAAAGCTTGTACAAAAATATACCCCAATAACAAGTTTGATATTGTCCAAATTGATATCTCTATTCACAGCATTAATTTCATTCTATGTCAAATAAGGCAAGCAAAACTTATTGTTGGTATGCATGGTGCAGCTATGATTCTCTCAATATTTCTACCCTCCTTATCAGGCATAGTAGAGCTGTTCCCTTTTGGTATAAACCCAGAAAATGTTTCATTTTTGAAATCACTTTTAGAACAGCATCAGCAATACCCCTTGTATTATGAACCATGGATAAATATCGAGAGAGAAAATTCAGTGGCTGGCATGAATACTAATCCCTTACTGGGTGGTATATCGCACCTTCCACAACATGAGCAAAATACAATTAAAGGGCTGACCCAGGTTCCTGCAGTAAAATGCTGTCACGATCCCACGTACCTGTATTACATGTACCATGACACATTCTTAAGTGACAGCATATTTGAAGTAATTCATAAGTGCCTTAGGAAAACACAAATAAATACATTTGACAAGAATGTTCTCCTGTCAAAACTTGTCTTCCCAGCTTCACCAGCTTTTCTTATGTGTGTAGTAAAAGAGAACATTCTCTCTGTTGACTGGGGGGAGCTGTCAAATGCTCAGGAAAATGTTGGCCTTTGGTTTCAAATTACTGTTCAATTTGGTGAGCATGTGAAAAACTTCAACATCTATGATAGTGCATCCACAATGTTTGCCACACACATAGACAACTATGCTGAAGCTACTGAAGTGTGGTTGCAAGCATTCAATAATAAAAACATTGGAGGTATTATAAAGCATACAAGATGCCTTAGTGTTACAGAATAATGTAAATTCAATCAGTTATGAAAAATGTAGTTCATTGACAAAACCACGTTTCTTGTTTGTTAATAATAAATAAAGGTGTACAGTGATGCAAATTGTCTATTATTATGGTCAACTGATACACCAGATTAATTCACAGGTAAGCCTAGACACAGGCTTGGAGTGAGGCAACGACAAAGTTGAAAGCAAATGGAATCAAACTGTCATATCAAATAAGTACTTTATACAATTATCAGCACTTTGGTCGTACAGCAAAGTCAGATTGGTAATACATGAACCGAAAAGAAAAGAATGGCTTGATAGGAACAGTAAGGTACGAGTTCATACTGCCATGATAAAATAAAATATATAACATTGGTTAAAACAGGAAATAGAATAGCGTTTAAGCATGCGTAAAATGCTAAATTAATTTCAATCTAAGACACTGAAGATCAACGCTATTAACGAGTTGATATTATACCGTATTACTAACAAAAAGACAAAGCAATGCAATGCTGATTGTTCTCTATAGCAGTAGCAGTGCACAGTCAGTTAATAAGACATAAACATAATAAATCGTCAGATCAATTTCTCTTCAAATTTTTGCTCTGTAATATGGAATTTGAAATGGTAAAACATTTTCAAGTGACTAGGTTCTAATTTACTTGTTCCAAATGAACACTCCTAATTTCATGATAAAAATTGTTAAAAGAATCTCAATGTCTTGATTGGCCTTTGTCCTTTAGACACAGATACATTTATCTGTTCAAAATTACTGATCATAATGAGAAGCAATTGTCACACAATCTGATAATATTTCTTGTTTCACATAACAAATAAGCTCTTTCGACAAAAAATATTGTCAAATCAAAAACTCCGCCAAAGTATTTATAATTACTTTGATAAGAGATCAAACCTGGTGGATAAGAAGATACAAAATAAATTATGTGATTACAAACTGAGAAAAGGGCAGGCGAGGAGTCGTCAAAAGCTTCAGTCATACCTGAGATTGACCTATCCTATCACCAATGATAGAATGCAGCTTGCGAGAAACTAAATCATTAGCTGAAATTTTAGGAAGGCTGGCTTCATCTGTTGAATCATCTGCCAATAAGCGTTTGGCAACTTTGCGGGTGCCATCCACTTGAATCATATTGTTAATAGCTCGCAAATCCTAGCCAGAAGAGAAGGGATCCTATTACCAACATTTCTTTTGCAACCATTCAGTTAAGATCATAGTTTTATTTACTTACTCTTGCTGGGCTACGACTGAACTTATAATCCAAAAGTTTAGATGGTGAGACAGTGACATCCTGAGGGTTTAAAGAACTTATAAAAACAGGCAGTTTGTCAGTTACTCTTCTTCTTGGAACACTTGGCTGACTCTTGCATACAGGCAGTGGGGAGAGGGGAAGTGAATCATTCTGAAACAAGATAGTTTTTAGATTGTTAAAAGGCACCAAATTAAACAGAAAGATCATGTACTCCTAAAATCGCCACAGACTTTACATGTACACATACCTGATCAGAACAGAATTTTTGGGCAAATGCTTTCATTTTTGTAACAAACACTTCATTGTAGAATTTAATTAAATCTCCTCGTACTTCCCCTCTGAAATTATTTGAGGTTCCAGCAGCATCAGTTGGTGAACCCAAAGCTTTTGGAAGAGGAGCTGATACCGCAGAGGTTTCCTCTGTAACAATTTGATTGCATTACATGTACTGAACTCATGCAGACTACAGTACCAGTTTCATAAGCTCATTTTACACCTACCACCAGACTCCTCAGTAACTTTTTTAAGAAGCACACTGCGGTACACATGTGAGCTAGCTTGTGGTTGCATTCTGTAGCATTTCATCACATTAGTAAAGGTTTGATCATTCTTCGTAACCTGATAATGTTAAAAATAATGTGAAAGTTGGTTTCCTCAGTAAAAAGGTCATAACTAAAGGATATGATTATGATACTCACTTTACAAATGACGTAGACTGAGCACATTAATAATTGATCAATGTGGCGGTCTCGCATAAGGTCTACATGGTTGGTGATGGCATGTTGGAAGCATGTCCAAATTTTTCGTTTCAACTCAGCATCTGTGAGTTGAAGGTGATTGCACAGTTCTTGCATTCTCACGGAACCCAAGTGGTAAAACTACACAAAACCAAAATAATTAATTCGAGTTTGTAACTCTCAGACCACATAATAATTCCCAGACACAAACCTTTCTAAAGAATAAACTGAGAGAGCCTGTTCTCTTCGGTTTGTCATCATCCTTCTTTTCACCACCAGATTCTGAGTTTGATGCACCAGGTGCTTTATTTTTAAGGACAGTGGATCCACTGCCAGATGGCTGGGCAGAAATTATAACACTGTTAGCCCCAGGAACATACTGAATTGGTATGTATTGCTGACCATTTTCTCCCTTGACAGCTAAAACAGAAACAAAAATCAGTAAATTGAAATTATAATGAGGTGATCATTTCAAGGTAACATGAACAAGCCTAGCTGGATGATTCACAAAAAGAATCTTTCCAACGCAACAACGGCAGGTCCTTACTTGTTATTTGAATTCCCCCTATTCCCACTTTGCTTTGGAGCAAAGATTGCCCTGGTTTGATTAGTTCACCATCAAACAGACGTTTCTTGGGAATGGCTTGAGAAACAGGAGAATTGAATCGTTCTACGGCCGAAACCGATGAAATAGGGGAAGCAGACCCTTTGTCACCAGCTCCTGAAAGGCGCTTCAATACAGGATTTGTGGCTTGGTGTTGTCCTGCATCACCATCTACGGTAAGTTGGCTTGGAAGTGAGACATCTTCACAGGATGGTACAGGGAGACCCGATGAATCAATATAATCCCAAAGAGAACTTTCAGATTGCCATGCCATAGACTCCAGTATTTTTTCCTCAATCTGCAAGACACATATTGATGAAGAATGACAGGACGTCAACACAAACATAATAAATTTAGAAAGTAAAGCTAAGGAAAATATAATTCACCTCATTCAAATGCTTGATCATATCTCTTGAAAGCTGTTCTTCAGCACGAACAATGGGTTCAATAACCTTATAGAAATAGTATGGTTCTACATTCAACGCTTTCAATACATAAGGAAATGTACGACTTGGTGCATTGTAGGCAAAAATTACAATTTCTATACAGCAAGCTAGAAGAGTTTGATGAAAAACTTCCTGCTCCAGAAGATTCTAAAAAACACAAATTATAGTAAATAGAAAAGCACTATTGGCATTAAAAAATTTAGCTTCTGAAATACCACTTACACTGAAATCTAGATGAGGTTTTTGTTTTCTCTCATCAGTTATTATGTTTTCAAGAATTTTGTAGTACAGTGTTACTCCAAGCTGCAACCTTTTCTTTGCAAAATCCATACTGGACATGTTGCTGGACTTTTCCTGATCAGATGTTTGCTGAGAGTAACGCTCACAGAACTTCTGTCCAATGGCTGACACAAACCCAAGAACTTTTTCTGTGGGATCCCTTGAGCATGACCTGTAAAACATTTAAAGTTGAAAAGAAATAAATTTATGAAACAGCTGTACTTCACATTTTACTTCAGAAAAATTAATTGCGAAATGACTAACTTGAAAATCTCCAATAAGTTTTCACTTGGAGCATCAGAACGCCCTGAGAGTAATGAACGTAACCTATTTACACTTTGTGTAGCAGTTATCAGTGGAGTGACTTCATTGGAATCATGTGCTCCTCGAAGATATCTCCGGTTTGTTAATGGTGTAGAAACAATCAGTTGGTTACACTATAATTTCAATAGAGAGAAAATAAAGGAAATAAAATCTGTTTCAGGCTTCTTTAAGATAATATGACTGTATTCTATAGTAGTATGTAGTAATAATATTATTAATGAAATAACTTCCTACCCCAGAAACATTTGGTGTTTGCAAACGGCGTAAAGCATGCATTTTTTCAGAGAGGTCGCCAATGCCATGATTAGTGGACGTTCCTATATCCTGTTCGGCATCCCCTACAAATAAGTAAAACAGATTGTTGCAGTTTTTCACTAGGCATGACACATTTCATAAATGAGGAAAGGTACATTTTGTAGTGCTGCAAACTAATAGTGTACAAGCAGACTGAATGGTTCACATGCTGAAAGATGCTGTAGACTCCAACATATCTATGGCAAAACAACCGTTCCAAACAAGCACACATAATCACTAAAGAATACAATATCTATGGGTCCCTTTGAACAATGGAGTGTCCATGCATTGTCCTAAAACATACATATAAACCACACCAAAGGAAAAAAAAAATAGATGCACCATAATTAGAAATAATAAACAGTACCCTCTGTCCAGTTAGCTAAGTTTACACTGAAAAAAATTATGAATCATCAGATGATCAACATTACCACTCATTGCTGTAATTATTAAGTAAAAGTGGTTTGTTGATTATCATTTTGACACCCAGTAAAAAATTCTGCTAAATTGGTTATGCAGTGACAGCAGAAATTTGGTGTGAAACAAAACATTGAATTTTTCACAACACTATCTGACATTACTCAGGACATCCTACTTCCCATACTATAAAAGTAAAACAGAGAGGTGGACATTAAGATTGCTGAACACAATCTCCTGACAAAAGCTCACTTTGTAGTATTGAATAGTGGCCACAAAACTGTCACATCTCCTTTCCAACCAACTTCTTTCTTTGGAAAGTCTAAGTTGCCAGTGAGAGATCATTTTAAGAACTACGATAACTACTGAAGTCATGCACTTTTTGTTCCATATAAATGTGAAATTTAATGCTGTAGCCTCTAGAACACTATATCAATAGGAGTAACATATATGTAAGTCCAGAGAGTGAAATAATTACTCTTAGCTTTAAGGATGATAAGAAAAGATTTTGACAAGAAGCATTCTTATCAAAAATGTCTAGTTAGGTTCAAACTACAAAATGTATTAGTAATCCAGATGCAACAGGAGATTGAAGCAATTTTGTATGTTTAATTCAAGTGACTAGTGAAAATTTCTACACAAGAAAGAAGATAAGCTGCCAACCACAAATACCCACTCTCCAAAAACAATAATAAATCAAGACATAAATGAACCAAACTAGCTTTCAATTCATTAGATGCAGCCCTAACTTTCAAGGGATATGAGGAACAGTCAAAAATGCAGGTCAAACCCAAGTATCCCACCAAGCAAAAGAGAAGACAGAGCAAGAAAACAGACATTTAAAAATATATAAAATTACAGCACGAGCAAACAGCACAGTGTGCTGAAGTGCAGGCGAGGTGTCTCACCTTCTACATTGAGAGCCCTGAGCACAGGTCTGGATGGGGTAGTAAAACCTTGACTTCTTTTCAGGCACGACCGCAAACGCTTAATTTCAGCTATAAAAAGCAACCCAAACTTTTGTAAAACGATATTGAAAATGAGAAAGGATTTTGATATGACTGAGGCCGTGTACTAATGTCTCGACTGTACAAGTGATTTTTTTTTTCTGCAAGGTGAGCTTATATAAATTTAAAGGAGGCTAATGGATAAGACTTTTAAAAAACAAGCTACAAAACATTAACATTGGCTCCCTTTTCTTGTCTGCAGGATTTCAAGTTTTCACTGGAAATTTAGATCAACCGTCGTGGTTAAAATGCCCTAAAATGAAACCACAAGCACTGCTTACACCAATTAGTGTGAATCTAGTACTGGACATCATCCCTCCATCATCAATAATATGGGACTTTTCAGCTATTGGCAGGCATTGATTTAAAAAAAAGAAGTGAAAGGCAGATCACCTCACATGCTAAGAGAAATACAGAATACACACAAAATTGCAAACAGATTAAAATTTTCAAATGGTAACCTGAAATTTTACTCTTTACAGCATGGTAAATAATTGAATGTTATGCTTATGTCAGAGTACTGCAAGTACAAAGAAACTCATCAAACCAAAATCGCTACACTAGAAAGGGTGCATTGAAAACTTTGAAAACAACACACTGATAACTCTCGCTATGATGGTGCAAACAGACTAGAAAACAGGTAATAGCAACAGCAGTTAAACTGAATTGCTGAAATTTTAAGATACAGTTTTGATGGTTGTGAAGAATTACACATTCTCAAATTGAAGTACTTGGAGGAATGAAATTCCTTTCAGCCATTTGTCTAAAAATGAGAGTATAGCATGCAAAATACAGCACATAACACCAAGAATAGTGCTCAAGGTTGCGGCTTTAATATAGATACAAGTCCAATGACTGTGCAAGCACAGTGTGTTCTGCCATAAAAAAGCTAGACACTCAATTTTAATTGCCAGGTCATGGGAAATTAAATAAGCATTTCCCCCAGTACCTTTTCCACTTAATACAAGAATGTTTAAGCATGAGAGGGTAAGGTTAATTTACAGACCATTGGAGGAGAACCAAACTTACCTAAAAATATTCTCTCATCAAAATCTCCTACATTCAATACATGTTCTTCATACTGTTTGTTGATTGCTTTTAGATTATAATCAAAGTTGTTCACATCAAGTATGCCACTGAAATTCTCAGAATTCCCCTTGAGTACCTATTCAAAAAAAGTAATAATTTAAGGTTAAAAATTGAGCAGTTCACAAGTAGTCAATGAAAAATGAAAGACTTACTCTTTGCTCAAAAAGCCTCTTAATATGATTTTTCCAACAATATGCCTTTATTCCTTTTGCTTCCAGTGGAAGTCCATCATGACTTTCACATAATTTATCAATGATGCAAGGAGCATTTGTGGGGGGTTGGTAGTCTGGACTCGAGAAATCCTTGGGTAAACCTAATAACAAGAGTGCATTTTTTGTATATAGACGTTTTCAGGGCAACAGAGACAGGCAGATGGAATTGAAACTTACCAGGAAACACTGGATTTAGAAGATCTCTCCTATCAGCTAGCAATGCATTTCCAAAAATGAGATCGCAGCAAGCTAACAGCATGTGATATGAATTAACGAGGTCGTCTCTGACATCAGGATAATCAACTTTAACGCAAACAAAGAGAGTCCAAGTGAGCTCAAATACACGAGCAGGTGTACAGGGCTGGTTCCTACAAAGAATTAAAATGTATTATTACAGAGAAAACTGCAGGACAGGGGGACTCAGAACATGACAGATGACAGCATACTTTTGTTTTCTTGATGTTCTCAGATTTTGCTGGGGTTCTGGGCCAGCCTCTTGAAACAAGTCCTTAAAAATCGGTTGAAACTTCTTAAAAATTTCCCTTGAAACAGCAAAATTCCTCTCTAAGCTGTCAATCTTCCCTCTGAAATCTGCTGGCAAACTAGCCATATCTGCCCATTTCTTACACTTGTTAAAGAAGTGTATCAAACTAACAGAAAAAACAGGAAAATAATAAAATGAGTTAACCATGTCAGCCAAACTAGCATAAATATATAAAATCAACTAAAATTAAAATCTCTACCTTAATTTGCTGAGACGTAGGAGCCTCGTCAGGCTGACACAATTTCCCTCTACCACTTCACCTGGTCTCCCAACAGTTGGTGTAGTTGATTTCCGACAGGAAACATAGAGAGCACAAGCCAGCCAATGAAGTTGATTACCCTGTTATAGAAAATGAGGTTAATCATAGGGCCGAAAGGCATCCCAGTAAACAATACATTGAAAATAACACATAAAAAGACAACCATTTAATTAAGTAACCAGACTCATAAAAAAAAATAAAAAAAATACGAGGGAACAAATTTCAAAGAAATCAGTAAAATTAAGACTATATTATGGAAAAGGGGGATTTCAAATTTGTCTAAAAAAAAATAAAAAAATCTGGCTTGGTGGACATCACCAGTAAGATTCATACAGGTAATTTCAGACACTGTTCAGTATCTCCACAGCAATGTATTCGACTAGTCTAGAAATATTTTGAAAATTGGTACAAGACTTATATGAGACGGCTGCTATCAAATGTTTATGGAGGGAAAATGGATTGACAGAGATTAAGGCATACAAAGCATTTAGCTCAATTTTTAGGTTGGGTGACTTCAGTTATGTCTAGTAAGGAGTAGCGGAATGCATACAAACCACTAATACTTGTCAGGAGAAAACGAGCGCACAATGTTTTATTGGGTTCTGTAAACTGATTGTACACAAACCCGTAAATAAATACGGGGCACGCGGCACTGATGCTTACCTCCAGCAGATAATTTACTCGTATTCTTTGGTAATTTTGCCACGCTTCATCGGCTGTATCTTTATCCATATTTAACTTCACACATAATTCTTGATACACACTTTCATCGGGGTCCCCCTGATTTAGACCCATTGTGTTTATTTTACTCAATCTCCCGGATTCTTTAAGACAGACCGCTACGCTCGACTCAACTAGCCTGTTTGGCTCCACAACCTACAATATTACGATGCCGAATAGTGTAAAAATAACATGAACAGTTTACTTTGCATTAGGTGTAGCTTATTGATTTCACTAAATACCAAGAAGTAGAACGAATCAAATATTTATGTGGCACTGTGATAAGAAACAGCTTAGACAAAGAAATGTTCGGTCCTGTCCTTTAACGAAGCACTTGGCGCGAATGCCAAAGCAGACGGCTCGCGCCAAAACATGGACACCAATCTGGCAACGCTGGAAATTATGTTTCAGAAGTACCCAAATAATTTTAGCTTTTAACATCTTGATCCACTTCAGACTCAGAAAATATTTCGATCCAGCCATTGTGCTGGTCTCTTTACAATTAATTTATCTCGTACGTGAGAGGTTTGCTCCACGCAAACTTCGAGTAAAACGTAAAAAGTTCCTCCAACAACACAAATTCTGAATTCAAGGTTGGCATTACTCGTGCCAACGCATCAATTTTTCCCGCCACAAACATTCAAATATGAAAAGAGGCTGAATACCAACTTTGACCTCGATTGGATAAAGTCGTTACAATCAAGAAGAGAAAATTCCCGTTATGAGAAATGTAATTTTGTCTCGTCCTCTGGTCTCGTCGCACTGGTTGGAAAAGGGGACGGGGTCAAATTATTTTCTTTCGTCGACTGATATGAGTTCCTCACACTCAAGTGAACTATTTCTATGCCGTATCATCCTGTTAGCCAGAAAAATGAAATAACTATAGAAAACTTGTGAAAACTGA